GGACAGTGGAGAAGTGGGTGAAGGGAGACATCGGATGATGCAAGATATGACAAAATAACAATAATTTATAAATTATCAAGGGTTCATGGGGGAAGGGGGGGCGGGGAGGGAGGGAAAAACATAAGGAGCTGATGCCAAGGGCTCAAGTAGAAAGAAAAGGTTTTGAGAATGATGATGGCAACATATGTACAAATGTGCTTGACACATGGATGGATGTGTAGATTGTGTTAAGAGTTGTACGAGCCTCCAATAAAATGATTTAAAAAAAATCTTTCATTGTGTTTTTAGTGGAGGTTTACACAGCAGTGTAGTTTCCCTGTAAACAAATTCTATAAAACTTGTTTCATGATGTTGTTCAAATTCTTTATGATGTGTGAACATTCTCATTACTTCTGTTCTGGTTCTATTTCCAGGCATGTAGCCCACTGTCTTTCAATGCATTAATATTCTACTGAATCGTGCTTGAGTGAGTTACTTTTTTTCCAACTAAGAATCGCCATCACTAGAACATTTGGTACCTGAAGTTATCATTATTGTTAATTGCCGTTGAATGATCTCAACTCCTGGCAACGTGGAGACGTCAGAGCAAGCATTGCCCGGTCCCGGCCCATCCTCAGGATTGTTGGCATGTTCGAGGGCCTTTTATGGGGCCATGGTGTCGGCCCAGCTCGGTGAGAGTTTCCCTCATTTCCACCGGCCAAACATGATGTCTTTGTCTGGCACTTGGTCTTTCCTGATGACATGTCCAAAGTAAGTGACCCAAAGCCTTGCCACCCGTGCTTCTCAGGAACATTCCGGCTCTGTTTCTTTGAAACAGGATTCATTTGTTCTTCTGGTAGGACCTGGCATATTCAAAATTCTTTGCCAACGCCACAATTCAGGTGCACCGGTTCTTCTTTTGCCATCCTTTTTCATTGGCCGCGTCTGCAGAGCTCCACTACACGACCCCAAACTACCACTGGCCAAGTGGAGAAAGGAGGTTGTGATAGTAAAGAGCCATTAATTTCAAATTGGGTAATCCAATGATTGCCTGCTGTCTTTGGGGACATTGATCACATGCAAAACACATGTCATACTTCAGAGTTCATAGGGGAAAAAAATCACAAAATTTTGTCACTTTCAGCAAAGATTTATGCAAGAGAGGTCAACGTGCCAGAAGAGATCCAAATCAAGGACATGGCCATCCCCCAGTTTGTCAAGGCTTCTGAAGCAATGAAGGTGGGCAGAGGAGCTGCTAGAAGCATGTCCTCCTGTCTCCTAATTTATGACAAGAGTTGTTCTGTGCTGTTTAACACATAACATTGACCAAAATTAAAATTCTCATGTTTTTGAGAGGTCTGTACTAGTAATAGGAGCTCCAGTGATGTAGTGGTTATGCATTGGGCTGCAAGTTACAAGGTCAGCAGTTTGAAGCCCCTGGACATTCTGCTGGAGAAAGATGGGTTTTCCACTGCCACGAACAGTTTCAATCTCAGAAACTCACGGGCAGTTTTACCCTGTCCTATAGGGTTGTTAGGAGTTGGTAAAGACTCCAAAGCCTTGAAGCTTTAAATATATGTCTTTATTTATATATGAGCCACACACACGCACATATTGGTATATACTGCTTTATATAGAGACTGGTAATAGGACCACTAGCCTGGATGAAAAGTTACTGAAGCTGTTCAGGATATACATATTTTAAAAAATTTAAGCCCCCAACTTTCTATGGGAAAATATAGGATGAGAAAGTTACTAAGATCATTTCAGAAGTAGCCAAGGGGGGTTATGGGAAAGAAAAGATTTTTTTAGCGTACAGATCCCTGAATCACAGAGAACAATGGGCTCGTAAGAAATATAAGCTTGGGAACCGATTACAAGGAACTAT